CTCCGTCTAACGACGCGACCGAACCACCAAGAAGCACATGTACGAGACCACCACTGGTTCTTCTAGTAGTCTTCCCGTACAATGATACAATAGGGCGAGCGAAATTGGCAATAGCCTTTCTTATCCGCGGCAAGGCGGAAAATTCATTCTTCCTAGCATGCCGCCGCCAGGCGGAGCCAAAGAATGACGTTTTAGCCAGCCGCCCTCAGAGGGTGGAACATATAATCTCATTGCCTTCTAATTTCAATTTGAAATTTTCAAACGGCAATGAGATGATACCGTTGCGGTTTGGGTTTACTGCACCAAGCCATCGGAAGGGCCCCTTCATTGCAGGCAATCTCTTTTCGGCAAACATGACATCGATCGCTCCGCTGGCACGCATAGGTTAAGCGCTCAACGCTTGTGCACGTGCCCCCGGTTGCGGGATTATTAAACAGATTATCGGTTTATGATGTTGATAGTAGCTCTATTATAGTTAGTATCACTATCATTTCCTAATGGTTAACTCCCTAGACAACGACGCTCTTGAGTTAGCACTGGGAAGACTCGACCTTGAGCCAAGTGACACCGCAGAGATTAGGAAATGGTTGAACTCTCCTGCTCTCGGTTCCTGCTTCTCCTCGTACGACTTCGTGTACGACCCCATCGACAATGATAGGCTGGACAACATCCTGAGCAAGCTCCTTGAACTGGACGCAGTTCCGCCTGCTGAGGCCCGAAACTTCGTCTCACTTTGGGCGGGGGCCATAGTTACAATGTCCCCCCCGCTCGAGGACGACGAGGAAGAGGACCCAGTAGACTATGCTCGCAACATCTTCTCGGAAATCTTCCATGGCGGCCTTGTCCATGGGGAGCGGCTCCCGGTTACCTTGTGGCTAGCTACGGTCCTCGCCACCGCATCAACCAAGAGGCGATTCAGGCTGGCCCGAAGCACCAGGCTGGGTAATGAGCGACTACAAGGCGAGGCGTTAGTGGGAGCCCTTCTCCAGAAGGGGGAGCTGGTTGTGAAGGTAGACGCCACTGGTCAAACTCAGGAAACCTTCATGACACCGCACAGTGCTGAAGGGACTGAGAACAGTGTGCAGGTGAGAACCACATTAGCAACCCCTTCCCGCATCACAGAGAAGCACCGAGAGACCCCCCGAATAAGTCCAGTCAATGTCTTCAAACTACCCCTTGAGCATGCT